TAGAAAAGTAGATATTCCTAGCAACATCACCCTTTCCAAGTCTTTCTGCTGCCTCCCATGTTTCTATCTGACTAAATATAGGCTTCTCTCCCTTAACTTCAGGGCCCTTCACAAGTTAGTCCCTACCTGTCTTCTCAATCAGCTTATCAGAACATCGAATGCTGTGTTCACTTCTTCACCCACATCCAGTTCTTCTACCTGCATCTTCATGCCTTCTTCTATGCATATGGAATATCTTAATCAAGCTCATCTATAAAGCCAGAACTTCACCTTCTTCCAAAGTCCTCCTCACTCATCACCAACAAGATGACTGCCAGAACACTGTCAAGCTGATAATGCTGAAGGAGAGGACAAGCAGAGAACATTACTCCTAAACTATTATCTCAGTATAAAAAGTGCACATTTCTTCATACTGCTGTCTGTTACTTCATGTCTGAGGCTGCAACCCCAACACACACACACACACACACACACACACACACACACACACACTTGACTTACATAAGTTTAGGCCCTGATTCTACCAACACATGTATTAATAGTCCTAACCAACTCAACAAAACTACTCAGGGACGCAAAGTTATTAAAACACATCTGCAAGATCAGGGCCTTAACCTATATTAGGTTCTTCAAAGCAATGACTCTCAAAGCTTTTAAAGTATCATATGGTGCTGGAAACTACTTGGTAGGAACCTCCAGTCATTACTGTAAAAGAAAAAAAAAATCACATATAAAAAGCTTTGTAAAAAACATTAAAGTTATTTCAATGCAGGAATCGCATCGAAAGTGTGACAGTGGTAGCTGCAGACTTTCATAATACATGCATGTGCAAGAGCAGCTTTAACGCTGGCATTTCCTGAGTCCTTGATTTTGCAAACTTAATTCTGATGATGTTAAAAACTAAACAGATGTGCAAACCAAAAAGCAAACAAATGAAACAACACCTCCTACCAAAGCAAGCAAGCCCTGTACAACACTACAAGAGCTTTCTCCTATGCATAGAGCTTCTCAGTGAAACTGTTTTTAAATGTCTCTCTTTTTTTTGATACAGACAAAATAATATTGTTAGCCTTGTTCCAGAAGTGGCTGAACTGTTTTAGTAGATATTAGTGAATTTTTCAGGCCACACAGCTAACATCTGGCAAATAAGCAACTCAGAAAAGGATCTTACAAAGGAAAGTGTGGGGCAACCTTAACTATACATATTGCTACAATGTATACAGCTACTTCACCTACAATGAATGCAAAGAAATTTTAATACAAGCTTCAGCAAAACCACAAACTGTCAGGAAGCTTTATGCCTTTCCTCCCTGTTACCACAAGGAAAAGCCCAAACTAAAGCAGAAAGTGACCAGTTATTCAAGAAAAACCACAAGAGTGATCATACACAATGTGCTGTCAAATAGTCAAAGTAAACAAGCTGAAGAAAGAAACCCTTTCCCTCTCCCCAGTGCTCATCTGAGATATTCTATTTAACGTTGCAGAATTTTTCAGAACTTTGCCCCTTGGGGTGTGTTGAGCCATAAAAAAATTCTCAGCCCAGCCTATAATTAAATATCCATTAATTAAAATGGTGACTAAACATTAGCTACATTGAATCTGCAATAAAGACATTATGAACAGTTCAAATAAATTTATTAATAGTGTACTTTAAAGAAATTAAAGCAAATCAGGGAAAACAGAAAATTATTTTGACAACTATATTTTGTATTTACAAGAGGCAGGAACTTAAGCAGTTCCTAAATTTACCTATAGAGATCGTTATCAGGCTGTAATCTCATTAAAAAAAGAGCTTTATATAAGAGTAAGTCTTCACTGCTGCTAACTTCTCATTGGATAGCAGTAAGAAGCAATTATATTAACATTAAAGCTACAGTACTTCTATTAAAGTAAGGTGGCCTAAGTGACAGATAGCCTTTTCTAGTCCCATTTCATCCTTTAAAATCCAGCCCAGGTCCACAGCGGTGGAAAATTTTCGTCTCATATCCACTCATTATTTTGAAGGTCTAAGTCTAACGTCTACTTAATTAAATACATCTCGGATGCACATCTGAAACTCCAGCTGTCCATCTTAGAAGAGAAACTATGGACTGCAGGGCTATGCTGACTGTATCGGTCCTCTTACTGCAGAGGTGTTCTTCCAGCTTAGGGACAGGACACGGAGGCAAGATACTGCATTATGTGGTACCTATAAATAGATGCTTTTATTCCCCAAGGTTCAAGTAAGCTGGCACATTCACATGTTAACTTTAATCATAAGAACAACTGTTTACAAAGCTATTTGAATAACTTTGGTTCAAGAAACTATTGCCAAATTTTAAAGCAAATCTGTTCTCAAAGAGAAAAACCATTTTTTGAACGAATCAGATCAATACACTGATTAGTCATATTAGCCCAACGTTTACAGCTTGCATATTTTCTTGATGATGGACCATGTACCTTTCCTATACAAAGCAATGGAGCTCTGTAATATGAGCCTTTATCTTATCCACAACCACTTCACAATATTTTGACAGTAAAAAAAATGTTATAATTGCCCTAGTGAATTTTTTTTTTATTTTTTACAAATTTAACACTATACTAAGGAAAATCTTTATTATAAAACACTGAGCCATTTCAAGCTTTATTCAATCATGAACCAACAGGCAACACTGAACTACAAGCATCAAATTCAATGTTTTTCCCTATTCGCTCTTCAACACTTTGTTTACTGGGCATAAATATTGGTAACACTCCCATTATTTTGCCACTAGTAAAAACTGCCAGGCAATCCTCATATGCCTTATATAATACAGTGGTTTAAAGAATCCTGCAATTCTCTTTGAATATGCTACCTAATCAAACGTTTTTTAGCAAGTACTCTGCATTCAGCCGGTTACATACAAGCACACAGATTAAACAGTCCAATTTTCCCTGACCGAATGAGAAGAATCATTTGTTTCTGGAAAAACTTGTGCAATTCAAAATTTGCTCTCTATTAACATTCTATATTCTCTTAAAACTAGCACCACCTGCTAGCACACTGACAGTAATCTCATTTACTAGACCATGCAGACTGCACGGCAAAGGAGGGCAAGATCAGTCAAAGTGAATTTAAGAATATAAACTAACATACCAGCTCCACTGCCTAGTGAGGCTCCTTGCTCGGCCCCAGTGTGCACTACCTTTTTTCTCTCTTGGTAATGCACATTACATCTCATTTTATTGCTAGAAAAAAGCTGAAATTTCCAGGAAGACTTCACAGAACTCCCTTTAGCCTTCGGATGTCCTCTTAAGGCATCTTATTCACACATTCTTCTAAAAACTTGTCAGTAGCTGAACACACTCATCGGAGTTATTTGGCAAGGCTGTCTGTCCTGACCTTTCACCAAAAACTCCGCTTAAATTGCCACTCTATGCAATCTAAGACCTCCTGTGAAGAAGGCTTTAGGACCCAGCTAGCATGATATCAAAGGATGCCCGAACAAGGGAGCACACATCAGTGTGCTGAGACAGTTGAATAAGCTGTACTCTGACTTTTTGCTTAGGGAAAAAAAACAAAGAGGAAAGCAGAACTAAAGCAGGCCACAAACATGACACCTTCTTACGCAAAATAAGAATCCATTACAATGCAACAAAAGGAATTATGTATCTGAGAAGTCTTCTTGGCACAAATTAGAGCGTAAGGAACAAACAAAAAGGGGGAAAGAGCGAGCACACAAGCAAGAGCGAGCAAGTGTATACGCAAGACTACTAGAAGTAGACACCTGTGCAGTTAGCTGGTGCTGATCTGCTACCCTGCTAGCTGTACCTTAGCAGCCTGCATTACATTTAAGCCTGCTGCCGCCAGAACAGGGACTGCAATATATATTATATCCAAAGTTCTTACCTGGAGCAGTCCAGAAGTTATACTCCAACCTTTGGCATTTATTTCTTTGCAAACCTTCCCTAACTTCAAACCATAAGTTAAATATTTCTGCAGTACGTAGTGGCACAGCTACTGATTCATCTCATTTCATCCCCCTGCTAAATAAAAACTTACCTAAATGTTAGCAGATGAGGAATATCCCCTTTGAACTTAAGTCTCCCTCCCCCCTAACCGTGGCATCAATTAAACGGCTGGCTCTTCTAATCAGGACGTACAGTATGCTGTTACATGAACCGATCCCAAAAATACCGATGCAAATAGGTACAGTGCCCACTGCTGATCCTCCAACCACACCGTAATACACCCAATTATTGTCAGACACAAGAGATTTTTGACAGCTTCCAATATTTTATATTCAACAGCTCCAAACTATGCACCGTCCCTACACACTACAGCGGGATCCGAGGTATCGGTAGGTATCGATTTCACTTGAACACCACGATACGTATCGCCAAACTACGTCTTTCCTGACTTCACACGCTGGGAACAAAAGGCAGCAACGCTGTCAAGCGCAGAAGCGAACAAGCCGAACGTCTGATCATTAAAGCGGGTAGGACTTATGAAATGACTCATCTGTATAAGCCAGGAAAGTTACGGTAGAACTAAATCAGCGCTACACGCTTGTTTTAAAAACCGAAAAAAGAAAAGATGTTCGTGAACTTATTGTCTTATCCTCGTCCTGTTACCAGCTGAAATTACCCGAGACGGCGACAACAACAACAACAAGGACACCGTGAAGGGAGATGATTTGACTACAGGGGACGTCCATCCTGTCACGCCAGTCCGACCCA